AGAAATATCGTCACATCTGATGTAATGCCAGAGTTAGTCAAGGGTCTAAAGTCTGGAATTATTGCCAGGCTGTGTGGCTGGGGTGGGTTAGGGTGGAGGATACATTGTTTCCTGTCACAGCTGAATTCACAGTCCAATTCAAGGGCTAAGGAAAGGTTTCCACAAACCGCCAGACGGCTACATGCAGGCTACCTCTACCTGCTCCTCCAGGAATGCAGAGAAGGGTCAGAATGGACTGAAATGGGGGGGCGGGGAGGGCCCCGCTGAAGGAGACAGACCTAAAGCCTAAAGGAAGTGTGGTGTTTGTTTTGGCTGAAGGGTTTTACAGGGAGTAGAGAAATGGCCCAGGAAAAAAAAAAAAAAAAGATGGCATGTGTGGACAGGAAGGAAGGCTGCCCTGCCAGCACCTCAGCCCAGACAAGGATATGAAAATAATAGGAGAGACCTGCGGCTGCCCTCTATTAACGTCTGAATTTAAGCAAAGGAAAGAATTCATATTGATTGCTAAGACTCTTTCTTTCCCTCCAACAATTAGCTCTTTATACACTTTCATCTGGCCTAGGAAAGAAAAATCTTTTGTCTAGGATGCCATAGGTAAAGTGCTGCCTCCCAGTGAGAATGAACTATGACCTTTTGTGGCCCCTTCAAGACCCATGATTCATGTTTCATGGAAAATATTGAGAAATATTCCATTAGAAATGAATCTGCTTTCACAGCATATTGTATGTTTCCTGTGTTTTTCTTCCTTCATTATCACCAAGGACATTCCCATGAAAACAAAAACAAAAATCTCGTTTTTCCCCAGAGTAACAATATTCTTTACTTTGATTTGCTCTGAATTTCGAGAATGCCTTTTCATGACATCACAATAAGCTTCTGGGGATTTTCTAGTGATGTCATAAATATCCAACAGAGAAAATCATTACGCTAATAAATGCAACTACAAGCAAAGGGGGTTGACCTCATATGGTGTAATTTCAAAGCTTCCAGGGAGGCCTGCAACCAGCTCCTCTCCCTACTCCTAAGTCACAAGTCCCCACACCCCCCACTACCAGCAATCTTTAACCCACTGGCTAGTGTTGAAATAGCAAAGCTACAAAACTGACGGTTTCAACCATGGCGTAAGCAATGGGTATGACTTGAATTTCCAGGAAGGCCACCACCACCAACCGTCGCTCCATCCCTGCCAAAAAAAACCACCTCTCCATCTGCTAGCTAGTGTTGAAACAGCATAACTAGAGCTTCATTCTCTTAACTTTAATCTTGGTAAAATGCAAATACTTCTTTCAGAAGTTTCCATTACAGTATGACTCAATTTCTGATCCTTTCCTAATCAGTCCTCTACCATTGTACCTCTCTCCTTCCAGCACCTTAAGCGGAAGCCCCACCTAGAAGTTCAGCCCACCCCAACTCTGGGCCCAATCCTGACTTTGGACAGAAATAATGTAAGGATTTATAAAGGAGTACTCCCTATATCAAACTAGCCTACTCTTACTTCTGTTAATAGGGTTCCTGTCTTACTCCAAAGACCCAGCCTCCACCACCCATTTTTGCTCTGCAAACCACCTCCATCTTATCCTGGGGACCTCAGTACTCATCTAGGATCCTTCCCAGAATCCTGCTACATCAGTACTCATCTAGCATCCTTCCCAGAATCCTGCTACTCCAAGAATCGTAAGCCGACTCCAAGAAAATGGAGTCGATTTCAGTTCATGATGCCCTGATGTAAAGCCACAGAGCAAGGCAATCAAGAGCTCTGGTCCGGGGGCTTTCTTGGTGGCTCAGTGGCAAAGAATCTGCCTGCCAGTGCAGAAGACATGGGTTCAATCCCTGATCCAGGAAGATCCTACATGCAGCTGAGCAACTAAGCCTGTGTGCCATAACTGTTGAGCCTGTGCTCTAAACCCTGGAGCCAAAACTACTGAGTCCAGCTGCTGCAGCTACCAAAGCCTGCGCACCCTACAGCCTGTGCTGCAACTGGAGAAGCCATCGCAATGAGAAGCCCACACACCGCAACCAGAGAGGCGCCCCCGCTCACCACAACTAGAGAAAACCCTGCGAAGCCGCAAAGACCCAGCACAGCCAAAAATAAGTAAAATGATTTGAAAAACAAGGGCCCTGCTCTTTCTCCCTATGTGACTGTAGCTGTGTGTTAACCTCTACAGGTCTCAGCTTCATATGTATCTGTCATACCCATTCAGTGAGAGAATACATAAGCCTAAAAGTTGAAAAAAATATATATGAGCAATGATAAGGATGTTAATCACAATAAATTTATAAATATATTTGCCTAGTCCCACATTCTGTATGGATATGTTCTACCCATCTGGAGTGAGCATTCACTCACTCACACTGGAACGCTAATGAAGGGGTCAGTGAGGATACCTGGCCTGAGTGACTGCCTATTATGCATGAACAGCCAACAGTGGGTCTGGACTAGGGTTCCTTCCAGTTCCTACAGTTGATCCTGTTGTCCCAGTGCCTCCCAAGCCCTAGCAAACCACTTGGGGTTCCAGGTCCTTGTCCCTTTCATCCTGTCCTGTGTCATTTCAATTAGCTGGCCCAGGTACCAATATGTCCCAAATAAAGATAATCACAGTACCTGGGTGTTCAGAAGAGAATAAAGACTGGGAAGACTCAGAGGAAACCAAAGATAAATGGCTCCACAATTCTTTAGTCAACGGCATTTTTTTTTAAATCACTGAAAGGGGTGTTAGTGTCACTTATCTCCAAGTAGCATCATGAATAAATACAAAGCTCCCATTGTGGACAGTGCAATATACTTGCAAAATACCCTGCAGAGTATACCAGTTACGAACATGCACTCAAAAAAAGTGAGGAAGAGGCTAACTAGATGAATACACACACACACACACACACACACACACACACACACACACCCTCTTCAGACACCAAAAGTAAAAGCAGGTGGCATAAAAAAGTGGATTTTATACAAGTTGATCCACTCAGCAATTTGCTTCTTATAGATTCTATTACACATATTCAGTTGCAGAGGGACACAGTCTTCCAGCCAGTACGTTGGGTTCCAACCTTACTGTGACCAGCTCAACTATTCTCTTACTGCACTGGAAACATCAGCTTTATTCTATGTAGGTAAAATAACTTTTCATCTAGTTTTCTCTAGTGTGTTCTTTTTTTAAAGATACAGAGTGAATTTTGAGGTTTTATTTGCTGATAATATGTTACAGTAACACAAGCAGGTGGAAGATTCTCTATCCTATACTACTTTAAAATATTTTCTCTCTTCTTTTATCTGAAGTTCCTTTGTATGATTATTCATCACCAAAGACTAGACTTGGTTTTTAAATGGTTTAGAACACCAAAGATCAATTTCAGTGACACAACGATCAGCGAAATGCCATCAGAAAAAATACCGTTGTAAAGTAATTAGCCTCCAACTAAAAAAAAATAAAGGAAAAAAAAATTTTTTTAATAGATAAAGAAAGAAAGAAAGAAAAAATACCATTCATGAATGGCTAAATCATTTCAGATTAATTGCAATTGAAATGAGTTAATTTTTTTCCTAAATTTTTGTTATAGTTAAAAAAAACAAGTAGTGAAGCTACACGGCAGCATACTCTATTATGCAGGATAGAAAAAATTAAGTTTTTCATGTAGTTCACTATGGAAAACTAAAACTAAAGGGCATTTCCCTTCATTTTCTTTATATATTGGTGAGCAAGCCTAGGTAGTAAAAATAAGACCTTTGGGCAGATTTCAGTCTAACCCAACAACCTAGTATTGAACTCAATTACAGGCTAATTTACCATTTGTCCCATAATCCCAATCACTGCCAAAAAGCTATCACCAGAGTGCCCTCCAACACCTCCTACAGTAGAACCTCATATGGATCAAGAGTATCTATGTCTCTCTCTTTTTCCAAAGTGAATGACAGAGAAGAGGCCCCAGTATTACACAAACTAGAAATGAACAGAAATGGCCTAGGAGCAGTCCTTAAAGAACTACATTCAAGGAGCCTCACGATACCTGGAGTTTATTTAGATAACAAGATTCTGGAGAGCTGATGCATTAATGGAAGAAGACTTCTGGAGACCGTAGGAGGGGGCATCTTGCACACAGGAGAGACGTGACTTTCTGAGGGCAGAGGGGGCACTGTGGTGGGCAGCCTTGTAAAAGGGCCCCAGTGATCCCTGCCTGCTAGTATTCACGTTCTGTGCAATCACTGCTTTCGAGTGGGCTAGACAGAGTACTCCCTCTTGCCCTGCAGTTGCTGCTCCGATGAAGCCGGCGGCCATAGTGTAAGCACCTCCATGGAGAGGCCACTCAGCAAGGAACTGACGGAAGCTGCCTGCCACTGGCCCACAAAAAACCCTAAACCCTGCCAACAGCCACTTAGGCGAGCCAGGAAACAGACCGACACTCAGACACGCCTCATGGTGACTGCAGCACTAGCCCACATTTGGACCTTGGTGTTTCCAGAGGCCCAAAGCCGCAGGACACAACTGAACTGTACCTACACTCCTGACCCACAGAAGCCAGACAACCAATGCTGTACACAGCTACCAAATATGAGTAACCTGTTACTCAGTAATAAACAACTAAGAGATATTTACCTCTAAAAGCATCATTTGGGTAGTATCACAGTATGTATTTGAAACTTTCATCTAACTTGAAAAAGTAAGTGCTGTTCTCTACTAGAATTTTAAGGCCTCTTAAAAATCTCTGGATTTTTCAGGGGATCAAATTCCATAATACATGAAGACAATGCAAGCTTTCCCAAGTTGATTTAATTCACTTAAAAGTCAATAGAATACTCAAGATATTTGACTGTGTCACTTATATATCACAGGCCCACTCAGCATTAAGGAGCCTCTGATAAAAGCAAAAAAAAAAAAAAAAAATCCAAGATAAGTTTTACTTCTAGAAAATAACATGCAGACTCAGAGATAAACTTTACTTCCATAAAATAATAAAGGAAATTTTTTTTTATTAGAAAGCTTACAAAAAAACTTCCTTACCTTGAATGCACTGCAGTGTTCCATCCTCCGCTCTTATTGTGAAAGTCTCACCTGGATTAACTTGAACGAGAATAACCTGCCAAAATAACACATTAATTTCAATTTTTTTTAATTTATTCTTATCTATTTATTTAGCTGTGCTGGATCTTAGTTGTGGCATGTGGGATCCAGTTCCCTGACCAGGGATCGAATGCAGGCCCCCTGCATTGGGAACACTGAGTCTGAACCACTGGACCGCCAGGGAAATCCCTAATTTTCAACTTAATACAAGAACATCTGGGGATTTCTCCAAAACAGTTTCATTACATAAATTTATGCACTAGACAAGAAATATGTGGCACAGAATCTTGTATAAACATAAAACTTAGGAGATGTCTTAGATCTGGTTCAAATTTGATGAGGGATAAGTACATGCATTTGTATTTAGCTAAGTGAATTCTCCCATGTTATACAATGGAAAGCAATTTATAAGAAAAATGTTTTGGGAGGAAAAAAGTATCTATGTATAGGACCTGGAAATAGTAATGAACAGTATAAGTAGGACCCATCAAACACACAAATCTTTAAATCTATTACCTAAATGTCTGTTTTAGTCATGTAACATAGATATTTTGTTATCAGAAGACAACTTCCAAAAGACTAAACCATGCATGCCATGGCAAAATACGTTCTTTCAAGAATCTCAGAATTTTAGTTTTAATCTCATTCAGTTTCTTTAGATAATGAAAGGGGAAAAATAATTAATCTATTATCTAAATATAAATTAAAGGACATAATCCAAGTTTTAAAAACTTATTAAAAATCATCAGGTGCAAGATTAACACTATTAAAATAATGACTATATATTTCTAGAAAGTGGAAGGATGTCAATGTCACATTCATATTAAAGTTCTTGGAGCAAGCCTGGTTCCTCCCTGCCTCAAAACCATCAAGCACACTGTTTCCTCTGTCTGCAATGCTCTTCCCTGCACTCCATCATCTCTACCCTCTGCCCACCTTACTCATTCCTCCACCAGCCACCACCCATTTATCCTTGCCAGGTTAAGGACTGGCATCTGACTCTCAGGACAGGACAGGTCTTGCACTATGGGTTCTCAAAAAACAAACAAAATGAAACTCAGCTCCTTCCTAAAATCTATAATTGCAATTAATTGTTGTTGTTGTTCAGTCACTAGGTCATGTCTGACTCTGCAAGCCTATGGACTGTGGCACACCAGGCTTCCCTCTCCATCACCATCTGCTGGAGTTTGCTCAAACTCATATCCACTGAGTCAGTGATGCCTCCAACCATCTCATCCTCTGAACCCCTTTCTCCTCCCAGCTGCCTTCAATCTTTCCCAGCATCAGGGTCTCTTCCAATGAGTCAGTTCTTTGCATCAGGTGACCAAAGAATTAGAGCTTCAGTATCTGTCCTTCCAATGACTATTCAGGATTGATTTCCTTTAGGATTGACTGGTTTGATCTCCTTGCTGTCCAAGGGACCCTCAAGAGTCTTTTCCAGCAGCACAGTTCAAAAGCATCAATTCTTTGAAACTCAGCCTTCTTTATGGTCCAACTCTCACATCCATACATGACTACTGGAAAAACCATAGCTTTGACTAGACGGATCTTTGTTGGCAAAGTAATGTCTCTGCTTTTTAATATGCTGTCTAGGATGGTCATAGTTTTCCTTCCAAGAAGCAAGCATCTTTTAATTTCATGGCTGAAATCACCATCCACAGTGATTTTGGAGCCCAAGAAAATAAAATGTCACTGTTTCCACTTTTTCCCCAGCTATTTGCCATTAAGTGATGGGACCAAGGATGCCATGATCTTCATTTTTTTAATGTGGAGTCTTAAGCCAGCTTTTTCACTCTCCTCTTTTACTTTTGTCAAAAGGTTCTTTAGTTCCTCTTCACTCTCTGCCATTAGGGTGGTAAAGGAATTATTTTTGTGTCTGTCTTTCCTTATAGAACCTTAATCTAGGTTCTATAAAGGCAAAATCTGACACAGAATAATTGCTTGAGAAATATTTTTACTGAATGAATGATAGTTATAAAACTTATGGAAAACCACTGCAACCATTACTCTGAGAAATTAAGCTTTCATAATATGCAATGTTAAAAGTCAACTTTATTTACTGTGGTGGTGGTGGTGGTTTAGTGGCTCGGCCGTGTCCGACTCTTTGCAACTCTATAGACTGTAGCCTGCCAGGCTCCTCTGTCCATGGGGATTCTCCAGGCAAGAATATGGGAGTGAGTTGCCATTTCCTTCTCCAGGGGTTCTTCCTGACCCAGGGATAGAACCCATGTCTTCGCCTTGGCAGGCGGATTCTTTACCACTGTGCCACCTGGGAAGCCCATATGGACCATAATTTATGTATTTTTTAAAACTATTTATTAAGATCAAAACCATTTTATCTTTAAAAGCTAAATCTTTAAAGTCTATGTATTTTGCTTATACTAATAATTCCAGGAAACACTGTTGGGATATTAAAACATTTTTAATCTGGAAATACATTAACTAGAAAAAACAAGACCATTCAAGGAAAAGCAGTACAAGTTTCATCCCTGGTGCTTCTTGTTATCTTGAATTATAATAGTTATTTCAAGGCAATTTATTTTTCCTGTACAGTAACTGTGTCAATAATTTTTCAGTCTTAAGCATTCAAATCCTCACCAATGTAAACACACTGTGCCATTTTAAGAACGCAAAAGGAAATCCTTCCCGATCTCTATGGAGTGATTAAGACATTCTCATTGCTTTCTTGAAACTGAATTTTTAAAGTCATTCCTAACATGAAAATATTTTTGACTTAACTTTATTTCTATGTACACATAGAATATAACTTGACTACAGGGGAATAAAACAGTCCAAGAAAGAAAATTATCCATCTTTTAAAAAAAAATCCTTAAACCAATTCTAACATCACTGTAGCAGAGCAGAAGGCATCTGCTTTGCGTTTACGCCTTTAGGGATAGATCTTTAAGATATGCCTGTCAAATTATTTAGTCAGGGGAAAAAAAAAAAAAATCAGTGGACACTATGACCCAGATATTCTTTGACAATCTTAAATGCATATGCTCTCTTCCACTACACTCATAACTGTCAGACAACATGTCCTAAATGCAAGTTCTAAAAGTACAATTCACCAGTATTATGGGAAGTCCCAGGCAAGAAAAGAGATATCTGAATTGGAGCAGGTTCCAGGTTCTATCACATTATCTGCTTACCATATTGCATGAAAAGTGTCTGCAACAGTTTCTCTGTGGCCCCCAACACCGGGCCACATCTCATGGAATGGCTTGGAGGCAGCCAGCCTCCAAAAGCCATGTATGCCTTCCCCTCGCTGCTCCCCGGAGGCACATTCCCGACCCCCACCCCATCTCTTCAGGGAGAAAGAGGATAGGTAAAGGGCTTGCACATATCCTATTAAAATATCTCTCTTCAAATGTTTCGTTCCTGCAATTTTCCCTGCTGCTGTGTTTCTATGGCAACCAGATTATAATCTACCAAGTTACCTCAGAAACCAGGCAAATCTCCTGTGTCCCAATAACAATTTTTCTTAGCAAGAGTGAAAGTCATTATTTGAGCAAAGCATATGCATCTTGGCACCAAGATATTTTAAAAGAAAGCATTTTATTGTACTGAAGCGGACTGACCACCGTGCCATTTTTGCTGTCAATAAAGGAGATATAAAAATAAACTTTTGACACACACCAGCCCAATGATCTGTCCCTAACCAGAGATATGAATGAGATGGCAGCAGCAGGCCTTGCATCGTGTGGCCCTGAGGAGCGTGAGTCACACCGGCAGGCTCCCTGCACTTAACCTTTTGTATCGAACAAGTCACTCCGTCTGTCTGTCTCTCTCTCCCTCTCTCAATCTGTCTCTCCCCATCCCCCCAACCCTTCTTCCCTCCCTCCTCCTCTCTTTCTTTAGCCACAAAGCAGACATTACAGTTACAAGTTCTCCTAAATACAGAATGTAAAACATAACATCACTGTCCAAACCTCATCATTTTTTGCCCACTTAGTAAGCATTTCCTGCTTTTCCAAAATCAGCACTAAAACAAGTCATGCTGTATTCTGTCTCTTGTCAGAGAAGGGAAAAAAAAAAAAGATTTTTTTTTTTAAACCACTGATAGATTTTTTTTCCCCCCAGAGATGTTAACATAGAGCCATGTTAATCAAAGACATATTTCAGGCTACTATTGTTTTGTCAGATCTGTTTCAAATCCGTTAGTGCTACAGGAACCGAGCAGCCCAAAATAACCAAAGGCAGTTCATTAAGGTTTACTGAAAAATAAGTGACCATTCTTCCAAAGTCTAAAGAAACAATACAACAAGAGGTAGAATTAACATAACTAAGCAAAAGGCTAAACACAGCATACTGGGAAAGCTTCACCCAACAAGACAACTGAAGCAGGTATAACATCTTTCTTTAAAGGTATAAATCTAAATAGAACTCTGTTTCTGACTCACCAGAAGAACAAAAGGAAGGCTATTTTTGCATTTTAAATTTTGGATGGCTGATTAACCAGAAGACAGTTAGCATCTAAGACTTCTCCTGGAGGCAAATTCCTAATTTTTGCCTCAAATAAAATACTACCAGGCACCCAACTAAATCATCACTGCCACGTATGTGTTCATCACAAAAGCTCCTGCTCAGACAGCAGTACTGACTGACCAAAGATGAAATGTTACATTTGCAGTATTTACAAGAGTTAAATTCCATACCTAGTCAAGATATAAACAGTGCTAGGAAATCTCGTTTCACTTTCAGAGCTTTTCCCATTTGCCACATTCTGTGAAGTTTGTCTTACTCTTAGCTGTTTCATGTATGCAGGAACATTCTTGTTTAGAGCAGTTATGAATATCCAACAGACATCTTAAGAGAGAAAGGAGTATTACAACCTAAAAGCTGCAGATGAGTTCCAGGTAAGGACAGAGTCTATCCAGGAAGATCTAACAACTTAAAAAGTGACCTCTGACTCCATGAAAGGCATAGTAGCGCCATCCTTCTGAACACACACACACACACACACACACACACACTTCAGATTCCCAAACTCCAGAAAAATCCTGGCAAGCTTCA